ATTCATAACAGTAGCAAAATTACAGTTATGAAGTAGCAACGAAAATAATTTTATGGTTGAGGGTCACCACAACATGAGGAACTGTATTAAAGGGTCGCGGCATTAGCAAGGTTGAGAACCACTACTCTAAACCATTTTCTAGGTGGCAGTGAGAGTGATGTTTTAGTCCCCCAAATGCAAAAGCTTTTAAGTACTCAGTTGATCTTAGTACTCTAGATTTTTTAACATGGCTTACAAGGTCATTGTCACCACAACCCATTATTTTCAGCTATTCTCAACATTTTTTTCTTAAATGTGTCTTCTTCTTTCCTAGCCTTTGCTAGCTATTCTTTCAGCCCAGATTATTTTCTTCTACCTCTCTTAACTGGTTAACTGTTAATTACAGTTCAGCTGTTGGCTTAGATATTATTTGCTTCAGCGGCCTTGCCTGCATCCCACCTTCGTTTTGCTATAACATTTATCATAGCACTTATGCTGAGTTATAGTTGTTTGACTCTCCTGGGAGACTGCAGGTACCATGAAGGACAGGATTTCCTGTGTCTTGTTAGCCATGTAACATGCCAGCTATGTAGCAGTGCCCAGCATGGAGCTTGAAACGGGGCACAAAGTTAGTACTTTTGTTGACTTATTTAGCATTTTAGCCACTTTAATTATTTATCTTTTTCGAAGTTCATTTCCTAGAAAAACTTTGCATTCTGATTACTGGATGTAAGTCTGTAATAAACATCAATTCAAAAGAGTATTTCTTCACTTTATTTAAAAGAAATTTTTAATTAGAGTTGATATTTAATATTAAATTAGTTTTAGGTGTATGATATACTGGCTAGACACTTACACAATTTACAAAATGACCCCTCCCCCATAAGTCTAGTACCCACTTGACACCATACATGGTTATTGGAGTATTAATGACTAGATTCCCTCTGCTATACTTTATATCCCTGTGACTATTTTGTAACTATTTTGTACTTCTTAATTCCTTTATCATTTTCACCCACCCCCTCTTCACATCTGGAAACCATAAATTTGAATTTTTCTTACTTTAAAAAGAGATGGTCAAAAGAGAAATATGGGAGAAACCAAGATGGTGGCATAGGTAAACACCTGAAATTGCTGCCTTGCACAACCACTTCAAAAATACAACTAAAAGACAAAACAGACATCATCCAGAACCACAGGAAGGCTGGCTGAGTGGAAATTCTACAACTAGAAGGAAAGAGAAAAGCACACTGAGACTCAGAGGAGGTGCGGAAGTAAAGTGCAGAGGTACGGAGGCATGCAAGGAAAGGGCTGGCAACTGAGGATGCGGTTGTCTTTTTCAATCAGGAAGGAGACACAAGCTCCCAACGGCTCTGAACGCCAGTTCCAGGTGAATCTGGGGACTCAGACTCATACAGGGAGAAACTGGACTGTCTGGCAGCGGACGAACTCGAGGGCAGCTTTCTCTCAGAGGTGCTGGCAGCGATTACCAGGACACTGAGATCAGGGGCCTCTTAGGGCAGGAATGAGGTTCAGCCACAGCTGTTTGCTCCACTCTGTTGATTCCCTGAGACCCCGCCCCACCCAAGCTGTGCAAAGAGACTTTTGCATATGAATGCCCTGGCCCTTTGCAATCTAAAATTATCTAACAAACTGCAGCTGGACCAGAGTGACCCAGAACATCCAAAAGAAGGCCCAAGGCCCCACAGCAGCTTGCATTGCTTCACCGCTGGGCCTACTCTGG